CCCAATTTTGTTTCCCATGGCTGCTGTAGAGAAGCATCATATTATATCATTTTGTAGGGTATCTTGAAGATGGCATCTTTAATAACTTGACACAGTATTTAATAACCTTTAAATAACTATAGATAAACATGGGAAACCTTCTGCATTCACCATATATCCTTGCGTTTTCTGTGCTAGTTTTATAATACAATAGAATCGGGCTTATTTTTGTATCAATTATTTTAAAGTAAACATCATATGTTATATTGTCCTGAACTCATAGACGTATTTAATATGCTTAGAAAAATTGTAATGAAATGTTATATGCATTCCTTGACCAAATTAAATATACTTGTAAAACACACTCTTAAGTAACAACTTCTACAGGCTTCCCTCTGTAAAGTCATTTTTCTTTTCTGGATACGTTAGCACCAATTGTAAAACTACAAATTTGGTGTTATTCATATTCATAGTTAATTTAGACCCATCACAATAACTCTGCAATACATGTATTTGCTTTTGCAAGCCAGGTATTGTGCTCGAGAACATGACAATGTCGTCAGCGAAAAGAAGCCGAAATGATTTAATAGTTTCGGAATGTAGTTTATGAAAAAGGAAAATAGGAAGAGACTTAATATACACCCTTGTCGGACACCCATGCTACTTACAAAATTATCCGATATAGCACCATTGTTCCGGACACATACCTTCTCATTTTTATATAGGGAACACAATTACTTTCAAATTCTGCTACTTAGCTTATGTCATTGAAAGGGGAACCACAAGTTAACCCTTTTCACAAAGTCAAACGCTATTGTAAAATCTACAAGTACAGCATATAACTTCCCTCCTTCCTTCTCTGTATTATAGAATATAGGATAAAAGCATTGTCAGTGGTGGAGTATTCCTTTCTAAAACCTCACTTATTTTATCGTAAGAGCCCGCCCAGAAAACAAGACTCTTATTTATAATTGAAGTAAATATTTTACTGAATATACTGAGGAGAGTAATTATTAACATCGCTAGTTGCGCCCTGTTTGTGAAGAGGAACAATAATGCCAACTGTCCAATTCTCGGTAAAATATTATCTCTCCAAAAGGATATTTAAAATAAGTCCTAAATATGGTATTAAAATATCTGATGAATGTTTACGAAACTCTGCTATCACAATGTCATTTCCAGATGCCTTATTATCTTTAAGGTGGGAGATGCTGTCAATAAGTTCCTCGCTAGATATTGGACATTCAATAACATCAGCTGTTACACTGTCAACTTTATCTTCGTTGAATTTCATGTCAGTCCGTATTCTTTCTAAAGTTAGTTTAACGTCTATATCGTTCCTTTTTAAGTAGCTGGCATTCGCTATCAAACCATTGTTGATCATATTTATAGCCTTATTAATTTTCTTCATATCAGATGCAGCGATAATAACAGCATCAGTAACATACCCAATACTTTCTTCAAGGTTAAAAAATGCTACATCTAAAGCCTGCTCCAGTAAATCATACGCAGTTCCGGAAATAAGGTTTGTTCTAAACTGTTCAGCCTTCTCTTCAACCCACACAAATTTAAAGGAAGCATTGTTTTGTGTATTGCGTGGTGTAGGGTCACTTACTTGAAGCGTACGTAAACTAGTCATGACCGGAAGGTGTGATGACTCGGCTCGAGACGGTATGTCAAAGCTATGGCACATATCAAACAACTCGAACGAGGCGATAACATAATCCACCACACTCGCACCCTGGTTTCCTATAAAAGTAAAATCTCCCAAACCGGCGTCTGACCCGTGCCTTCCATTCATAATATATATATTTAGTAAACTACAAAGATCGAGTAAGCTCTTACCAAAATCATTAAAAGATAAATCAACAGAAAGTCTTTTTAAGCTGATATTGTCTAAGAGACATTTTGGGCGAGTCGTCATATTATATTAGCAGAAATTATTAGGCGCCCAATATGTTTCTGCTAACCTAATATGACACCGTATACAACAACTAAAGACACCATAAACGAATTTATCATGCCGAAAAGTTTACACTATCTTGTATCCATATCGCACATCTCATGTCAAAATGAAAACTTGACACTTACGACCGTTGATGTTGGGGGTCACAGGGAGACAACTCTTCAAATCTTAGAGGCCAAACCTTGTTGATTATTTTAACTGTAATCTTTATCAATGAAATCACGAACGTGATCTAAAAAATTGCTAATGTCCTTGTACATCACAATTAATAATATTAAACACAAAACAGTGTCGAATAACGAATATCTGTACCAGAATTTTCATGTGAAATATGTGATGTGGGTACTGGGAAATCCAAAATGGCTGTTACTGACGGTATACGGTCTCATATTAGGTCAGTAACAACCATCTTTGATTTTTTATTGACGATATACGGGCTCAAATGGGGTTAGTAGATCTGCTCTCTGATTGGTTAATTTCACTTTTAGGCATAATAAAACTGGATATACGTGATATACTGTGCAAATTGGTGTTGAACCCAACTCACTCACTGCTCCACGTGCAAGCATGACTACGTGCACACGACGTCGGAGAGAGTTTGTTTGGCGTCTTATGACGTCATCAGAATTTCCTTTCCGTTCTTCTCTCAGTGACTTTACAATCTGATCTCTGTTCACTGGAAGATTGGGACGTCGGATCTGAACAACTGGAACCTTCTCTCAGAAAGAAGCATGCGTTGCCAGTTGACATACCAAACGTTAACGCTGAAGTCGATGTTTCCTCGTCAACATAATTCCTCTGAATATCCGATAGGCCCTGATATGATCATATCGTAGTCGTCGACGTACTGTATGACGATGGATAGCACGTCCACACGCAGTCGCTGCAGATGACGTCACAGAGAGGAATCTGTAAAGTGGCAACCACAAAGATCACTTCGGTCAGACGATTTACACTACTTGACTGTTCCACAATATAATCTCAAAGGCTATGGTAACAGCTCTTTCAGCACAACTGGCCATCGACTGTGGAATAATCTTCCAATTCAAATTATTCTAACCTTTTGAATCCTTTTTAATCACAACTAAAACAAATCGTTATCGTGAAGCATATGACCTACTTGAGGCAGATACGGAGATGAGGAAACCGTACCAGGGCACTTTGCCACGTACTATTTCTATATAAATTGATTCCTATTGTTTAATTTAGCGCTATAATTTACACTGAGTGTATTGTGAGTAAGTGAGTGAGTTATGTTTAACGCCGCTTTAAACATAACTTTGTGACGCGAAGTCCTTGAGGCATGTCATTTCACATATGCAACGTCGCTCAAACGCAGCTATTTGCGACATATTTAATTTATTACGTTACATCGAACATAACTGGAACCTTTCGAACCCTCCATGAACGTTAATTGCATTTATTTCATATATTTCGTCAGTTTATGAAACCCGATGCTTTTTGTAGGATGTATTTTTCACTTACTCATAATATCCTACAGAACTCTTCGCACAAGTAGATGTTATTATAGAATATAGTTCAGGAGACATACATACACAATATTTAAGTGTATCATAAACCAAGACGAAACGCGTTCATAAATAGAACCGTGTCACTAACGTATGGCCCAGATACTGTTAAGTAATACATACTGAAAAGTTGTTGAGGTTATGGTCCATTAAAAACGAATGATGTTCGTGAGACAAATTATGGTCTTGACAAGTATAATCCGTTCGCTGAATGAATATAAAAAGTTGGCTTTGGAAAGGTCTCAGATCTTTCATATATCTTACACGCACATTACTTTGAATCAGACAGCGATGTAAAAATATATAGTTTTCGTTGTTTTATTTATACATGAAATATGACGGAGTGATTGACACAATGGCGGCGGGGGGCATGGCCAGACACGTGTTGAACTCTTTGTGAACACAGGTCATGATAAAAGTGACGCCCTGAATACAGTATAAATACAGACTTAAGAAACCTCACACTTACAACTGATCTTCGTCGTCGACACTTCAACACTTTAACAGCATCGTGAGTCCTGGAGCTATCGGAGGTAACTTGAAGGCATATATTCTCTTGTTAATCAGTATATGAGACAGTTTTGCCTTAAATTAAAGCGACAAAACCTTGTGTTGAGTGAGTGACAATATGGCCGACACAAAACAAGTTACGTCGCACCCGATTCGTTGAAATTACTATGGTTTATCTGTCATGGCGTGACACATTAATTATAGTAATATGAACGAATCGGGCGATCTCTTCTATTTTAAGTCATCCGGTTAGAGGCACGGGTGTCCTCGCCTCAGTGTCTAAGACGCCGTAGTCGATGTCCAGAGTTGTGTCCCACAATACAAGACACTTATGAATTGGTTGGAATTCTATGTTTCTTGGTTTGTCTGCATTATACCCGTAATCGTCTCGTGGATGTCAACAATGTGGCAAACGTCTAATACATTCATAACTCAAGGTTTTCCTCATCTGACAGCCCGTGTTATAATTGAAATACTGTTCAAAACGGCGTTAAAGCGAATTCCTTCACTCACTATTCACCTCGTTCATATATATCAGCGAACATATCAGCAAGCTTCTCGATTATTGATATAATGAGTGAGTTACCATATTGCTTCTTTTGTAATTAATCTGAAAAAAATACGCGTTTATATCAGTTAGGCATAATGATACAACGAGCGACGAACTAATGTATTCATTAAGTATACTCAAACTTAAGACATCTCCACGTTATCCACCCATAACATCTCATACTCTCTGTGTATGTGTAACAGATATAGAATAAACTAGCCTAACACAAACAGCAAATAGAACCACCGTAACACTAAACTTCTTCATAAATCTACTCATTTTGAGAAATGTCTTTGATTTACATAACATTTTAAATATGAATCATAAGTGATTATTGACACAATCTTATACTGGTGTGTAGTTGTATGTTAGTATTTTGTTGTGTAGTATCCACTGATTCATATATTTGAATACATTCTTTGCATGTTGTACAACATAATATACATATATGTTACAGAGTTTTCCATTGGCCATGAGACCCCTGTTGCTGGTAGTGTTTGCCGCTGTTCTGGTGGTCGTCTTCGCAGATAATAAGAAGGAGACGGACGACACCGGGGACAACAGCATCAACAGTGTCGACGACGGTGATGATGGTTGGAACGCGGTGGACGAAGACGACGGAAAAGATAAGAAAGATAAAAAGGATGAGATAAAAAAGAAACGACCCAATGTACGGGATCGCAGTGATGTCAACCCTGACACTACTGATGATGACAAGGACGATGATGGCGACTCCAATGGTGTAGTATCGTATGCTTCATCTCTTTAATGACATTAATTAAGGTTTAATTTCATGGATCATTTACAAATCTGATTAAATGCATTTTATGGCAAAAAACAGTTTGGAAAATGTGTCATGTATTGTGTGAAGAACCACATTGTTTTCAAAATCTAAAAGCTTTCTACAGATTTAAATACCACAACGTACACATGTGCATTACAGCATTAATTGAGTCTTTTTATATCTTAATTACCATGATTGGCACTATAAAGATATTTGTCGTCTATTTTGAATTTCTGTAAAATACCCCATCTAAAATGGTTGGATAGATTATATTTAAAAATATGATTCCTATTTAAAGATGCTGGGCGTGATGACGAACAAAATACCAAAACGGATTTGAAGCACACATCAGATTTGGAGGTGAAACACCCGAATGACCTATAACACGATGTTGGTCCTGTGTTTCACTGAGGCGCCCAATGACATCGACACTGACAAAGAAAATGATTCTACGATCCACAAAATCCCAATTAAATGTATAATGTTATAAACCATTGAAACAAATACAACGGATCTCAAAACCAAATCTATTGTGATTTGTATTTTATGAACAATTAAATGAAATGTTGACTTTTATAAACCACTTAAACAAACACAGGAGAGTTCAAAACAAATGATCGAATCTTTTGTTACTTATGAACAATTACGTTGGCAATAAAATAGTAAAACTGTCTATTGTTATTTGTTTATGTAGATCTAAGTATACTGGCGTCAAATGGTACCTGTTTAATGTCTTAGTCCTTGATCGGGGCTTTCATGTGGTTTTTCATCTCCATGCTCAGCTCTGGAGGGAGCGGTTGATCAGTAGAAATATAAAAATGGATATTGATGAAAAATTCGGCCTTTGGTTGTATAACATATGCGCAACAATGGTTCGGTATCGGTGGTAACTGCGCTAAAGGTGATACCCAAAGGGATTCATTGGACGAATGGGTAAAAATAAACAAACAACATTTTTAACAGTAATTTTGGACCTGTGAAATATATTTGGCCTTTTGTTATATGAACGGAGATATTGTAATAAATGAAATGTCATGGCTTACAGCGAATCACGCAGTTTAAACACCTCTTTGTTTGTCTGCTTAAATTGTACTCCACTGTATAAACGTGCCTACAGTTTGCCAGCAGTCAGGATTGCCGAGCGGCCTGAGGCGCTGCGTTCAGGCACCAGTCGGGTTCTGACGGCGTGGGTTCGAATCCCACATCTGACAACTGTTTTCCCCCTCTTTCAAACGGCACCGGATTACCTCCCTTGTTGAGGCACAACATGGACGCATACTTCCATGCTATTTCTTGTAAGTTATCCTACCTTTGTGGAAAAACTCGGTTCATGTAAAGATTCTCAATACTTTTATTCCTCAAGATAAATATGTGACCACTTTTGTGTCAGACTCGGACAATGAAACAAAAAATCTTGTCAATGACATTTTACTGGAAACTGTTGAGTCGTGTGTAGTGGAGTTATAACTGAAAATAATCAGCGACTTGGATTATTTTGTTTTAACGTGGGTTGGCGCAAGGATACACGCCTGGGTGCTTTGGAGCGTGACTCTCTCCACTCTGTCGGCTGCACTGGATATGGACGCGAGCGGACGTGCGTTACTGAGACACCATGTCGGGTTCGAAAGATTTGTTTGTTTATTGTTTAACGCCACACTCACCAATATTCCAGCTATATGACGGCGGTCTGGAAGTAATAATGTTAAAAAGAAGCATAACTGTTCCAGTCTTGATATGTATCTCTTGAATAAGCTAACTTCAGTAGTTTCTGAAAAAGCTTGTCGCCATATGTGTTGCTGTAAGAGAAACAGGTGATCACTATGTAACATAGGTGTTGCTGTAAGAGAAACAGGTGATCACTATGTAACACATGTTTCTGTAAGAGAAACAGGTGATCACTATGTAACACAGGTGTTGCTGTAAGAGAAACAGGTGATCACTATGTAACACATGTGTTGCTGTAAGAGAAACAGGTGATCACTATGTAACACATGTGTTGCTGTAAGAGAAACAGGTGATCACTATGTAACACATGTGTTGCCGTAAGAGAAACAGGTGATCACTATGTAACATAGGTGTTGCTGAAAGAGAAACAGGTGATCACTATGTAACACATGTGTTGCTGTAAGAGAAACAGGTGATCACTATGTAACATAGGTGTTGCTGAAAGAGAAACAGGTGATCCCTATGTAACACATGTGTTGCTGTAAGAGAAACAGGTGATCACTATGTAACACAGGTGTTGCTGTAAGAGAAACAGGTGATCACTATGTAACATAGGTGTTGCTGAAAGAGAAACAGGTGATCACTATGTAACACATGTGTTGCTGTAAGAGAAACAGGTGATCACTATGTAACATAGGTGTTGCTGAAAGAGAAACAGGTGATCACTATGTAACATAGGTGTTGCTGTAAGAGAAACAGGTGATCACTATGTAACACATGTGTTGCTGTAAGAGAAACAGGTGATCACTATGTAACACATGTGTTGCTGTAAGAGAAACAGGTGATCACTATGTAACACATGTTTCTGTAAGAGAAACAGGTGATCCCTATGTAACACATGTGTTGCTGTAAGAGAAACAGGTGATCACTATGTAACACATGTGTTTCTGTAAGAGAAACAGGTGATCACTATGTAACATAGGTGTTGCTGAAAGAGAAACAGGTGATCACTATGTAACACATGTGTTGCTGTAAGAGAAACAGGTGATCACTATGTAACATAGGTGTTGCTGTAAGAGAAACAGGTGATCACTATGTAACATGTGTTGCTGTAAGAGAAACAGGTGATCACTATGTAACACATGTGTTGCTGTAAGAGAAACAGGTGATCACTATGTAACACATGTGTTTCTGTAAGAGAAACAGGTGATCACTATGTAACATAGGTGTTGCTGAAAGAGAAACAGGTGATCACTATGTAACACATGTGTTGCTGTAAGAGAAACAGGTGATCACTATGTAACATAGGTGTTGCTGTAAGAGAAACAGGTGATCACTATGTAACATGTGTTGCTGTAAGAGAAACAGGTGATCACTATGTAACACATGTGTTGCTGTAAGAAAAACAGGTGATCACTATGTAACATAGGTGTTGCTGAAAGAGAAACAGGTGATCACTATGTAACACATGTGTTGCTGTAAGAGAAACAGGTGATCACTATGTAACACATGTGTTTCTGTAAGAGAAACAGGTGTATACCATGTAACATAGGTGTTGCTGTAAAAGAAACGGGTGTACACCATGTAACACATGTGTTGCTGTAAAAGTAACGGGTGTACACCATGTAACATAGGTGTTGCTGTAAAAGTAACGGGTGTATACCATATAAGATAGGTGTTGCTGTAAAAGAAACAGGTGTATACCATGTAACATAGGTGTTGCTGTAAAAGAAACAGGTGTATACCATATAAGATAGGTGTTGCTGTAAAAGAAACAGGTGTATACCATGTAACATAGATGTTGATGCTGGACCGGATTACACAGTGGTGTGCTGCTCACGTGGAGGATTATGTGTAAACTGGGCACAGTAATACTGGGTTAATGTTGAGCATGTCCTCTCACCATGCACTGTTATAGATACTGCTTGCATTGTGTGTTTGTTTTGAAGTTGTTGCCTGCTATTAGTTCTTTTTAATCTGTACTTTTTCTGAAGGTTCAAACAGTTTTCTTGAAACAAATTGCACTGTTGTTGAGACATTCACTTGAATACATTTCTAAATTGACAGAAATACATACAACAAAGAAATAATCACATAAATCATAGTGACTGCCGGTTTGTATCTAACATCAGCTTGTTTCCAAATCAGCCCTGTGAAATAATGAGGTCATACACTTTTATGTGTTTTCTTCGTGTTGCTATCATCACTGCTATGTCCCCATACTTGTCCTTGGCGTGAATATCCACAATATCCTGAGAAAGAATATGCTTCACCATTTCCACTTGGCCACAGAAACAGGCCACGTGCAGGATCGTGGAACCATCACCATCAACTGCAGACACATCACCTCCTTTACTAACAAGCAAGTCAAACACGTCTTTATGTCCTTCAGCTGCGGCCACCAACAACGGTGTCCTCCCATCTACTCTTTTACAGTTGATGTCCGAAATGTTCTGAGAGAGGATGTACTTTACCATCTCCACATTTCCTCCAAGACATGCCGAATGTAGGATGTTTTCACCATTTATATCCACGACTGAAGCATTGCCTCCTTTCCTCTTGACTAAGTCAAACACGTCTCTATGTCCCTCAGTTGCTGCAAACATCAATGGTTTCCTCCCGTTTAATCCTCTACAGTTGATGTCCGAAATGTTCTGAAAGAGGATGTACTTTATCATCTCCACATTTCCTCCAAGGCAGGCCAAATGTAGGATGTTGTCACCATTTATATCCACAAGTGAAGCATTGCCTCCTTTCCTCATGACTAAGTCAAACACGTCTCTATGTCCCTCAGTTGCTGCAAACATCAATGGTGTCCTCCCGTAGAATCCTCTACAGTTGATGTCCGCAATGTTCTGAGTGAGGATGTACTTCACTAGCATCACGTTTCCCCCAAGGCAGGCCAAATGTAGGATGTTATCACCATCTATATCAACAAGTGAAGCATTGCCTCCTTTCCTCATGACTACGGCAAACACGTCTCTATGTCCCCGACGTGCTGCCAACATCACTGATGTCCTCCCGTACTGTCCTCTAATGTTGATGTCCACAAAGTCAAGTGACAGGATATTTTTAACAGGCCATGTGAAGAATATTGTCACCGTTATTATCAACAAGTGACATATTGCATCCTTCTTTTATAAGACAGTGAAACAGAGCCCTGTGTCCAGCACGTGCTGCCAACATCACTGGTGTCCTCCCGTATTCCCTCTCTCTACCGTTGATGTCAACATGACCTTGCACTCGGCTAAGGTCACCCTCCCTGCAGGCTTCATGGAGTATGTTGTCTACAGATTTTCTCTTCTGATCTCGTTTCTGCTGTTGAGATCTCGAAGGATAAAACTTCTTCATATCTGGAAATATGTTTATTGAGATTTGTTTTACCACAGCTAGTGAAGAAGTATGATTTATGTTGACATTCTAAAGCACATTTGTTTCATGAAGAAATAATTGCCTTTTCAAAAACTGCTTTACATAAACATATAAAATAATCAGTCTCGTCATAGCCCAACACAATTTCTGACATCTCAAATATAATTTAGGAAAGTTGGAAATCAAGATTAATTCAATAGATAATAAATTTTGTTATCTTACAGTCTAAACTTTCTATATTTGTCCTAAAAGGAGAAATACAATTTTGGGCCATCACCATCATATTCAAAAACAATTTTTTAAAATTGTTTCAACTCATTTTCTGGAAAATGGAAATCCAGGTAAACTTGACAGATATTTTATACAATGTCTAAACATGGCTAGATTCTCGAAAATCTTATTTTTCCCTAACCAACCCTTAAGTAAAATAGTACTTGGAAACCAGACAAAAGATAACAGGACGGCTCTTACCTTTTATACAGACAGCTTTTCCAGATCGACTCTCTATACACCTAGAACCGAGACTGCAAGACATGATTGTGCAGGGACCAGCGGGTACCTGTAAACAGAAGTAAACTGTCAACTGCGTGTTCGCGAATGTCTCCTCCCAAATAGTACGCTGGGTCGATTAATTTTCTCTGTAAGTTCTTGAGAAGCATCGGTCTTTTGTCCTTGTTGAATAATAATAAAAGCGACAAAGCCCATCCCATATTCACATGAAATCTCTGCTTAAAGCAGAGTCGATTGTTCATGAACATGTGTTTATGAATCACTATCAAAGTGATGAAGTAAGCGAAAAGATGAGCGTATCCTAACAACAATGGCATCCGTCACACATGCATTAAATTTCACTTGACGTTGTCTTTCCTAATATATACTGACGGAAAAATGTAACTGTGCTTCACATACAGTTCAATAAAAATAAAGTTATTCTGAAATGAAATAATTTATCTTGTAAGAAATGTTCATGAAGATATTTCCTCGACTTTAAGGTCGTGATACACAATGTGCATATGCATCATGCATGGAGCAAAATAATGATATTTGCATGTTTGTTGGGGGCATGATACTCACACACGTGTTTCTTGTTCGCGTGAATAGCATACAGTGATTGTTCAGACACCAGGTGTTCATTGAAACACTTTTGTAATGCAATAGCGGGCAAATGGGACAAAACGAAGCTGCCATAAAATTTTAGGTTCATCAAAACACAATTTGATCCCTTTGTTGACGATATCAACAGCATGTAGATACGTTATGTTGAAACAAGTGGCGTCACGTCCACCAGACAACCGTATTCGGTTGGTGCATCTACGGAATCGATACCAAACTGCCACATTGACAGCTCAGTCAGTTCCTTGGTTGAGCCCAGTTAGTGGCAGAACCGTACGCAAGTTGTTGATACGCCCAAGATTGATTCTACGCCACCGTCAGCCACGCCTAGCTTGGTGTAGACAGCATCTGAGGTTCAGAATACAAGACTGGTACAGTATTCTGATGAGTCGAGGTTTAATCTGAACAGGTCTGATGGTCGTGGAAGGGCCTACAGGCGTCCAGGAGAACGTCTTAGCGATGCTTGCATTACTCAACGTCGCCTGTTTGGGGGTGGAAGTGTAATGGTATGGGCTTATATCACAACTCATGGGAGAACAGAACTTCAATATAAAGGGCAATTCGAATGGCGTACGCATCCGGGACACAATCGTTCGAGATCATGTTCTACCCTTTGTTGAATTAGCGTCACGTTGAAGCAGCATCCCCTCCCCCACAAACATCCCAGCCACCCACAACCCCACCACCACCCACCGTTCCACGTGTTGTAACAAACATTTGGACGTAGTATAACATTGCTGTACTGCCATTCCTGGCTGTATCTCCAGGCATGTCCCCCATAGGACATGTCTGGGGTGAGATGCAGCGACGCGCACAACAGAACCAGAACCAGTCTGTAAGGCTACTTAATTTGGCCAATCTTTGGTTGACATTTGGAACAACATCTCCCAAGCTGTTTTCAACCATCCATTGTCTTCAATGCGCCGCCGCTGCTTGCCTGCATCAAGGCAAATGGAGGTCGCTACCGTTATTGACATTGTCAATTGTGTTCTCACACCACCCTGTTACCAGGTATTGGTTTTGTCAATCAATTTGATCAGACGGATGACCAATATCAAGTTGTTATTTTAGATAACATAACATTTACGTCACTTTGTATGAAACACGGTTACATTTTTCCGTTAGTATATATATAGTGGCTGGTTGGGTAGCGTTGTGGTCAAAACGTTTGTTCGCTGAAGACCCAGTACAAAGTGTGAAGATCATTTCTGGTTTCCCCGATTTGTGATATGAATGGACTGTTGCCAAATTCGGCGTTAAACACATCTCATTCACTCTAGATATTTGACAGTAAATTACTTTTAATTCACCTGACGTAAATTGCGTTCAAACCAAGCAGACCAATATAGAATATTTTTTTATGCATGTTTCGTCTTCAATATGATGTAATTACATGAGAAAATCATTTCTGGAATGGGATTAAACCAAATGAGTACAATCACCTTCATTGTTAAATAGGCTAAGCATATTTACAGATAAAATCAACTTACATCTGAATGATTCTTTTGAAGAGCAATAAATTCTTCATTCTTCTCAATTGGCTTCGATTCCCCAAGTTGTAGACGACAAGTTAACGTTTCATAACTGAATTCGTATCTCAAACAGCCGCCAGTTTCAATACATCTTACTTGGCAGAGTTTGATGCCAATGTTCCTGATAGTAGCAAAACGCTCCGTCCTCTTCTCTGTTGTTTGAACTTCACTTTGTTTGATGCTGGATGTAAACAGTCCCAGCACTGAGTGAACAGCTGCTGATACCAGGAACAGCTCCCGAAACACCCCTGAACACAGCGGAGTCATCTTCAAGTCTGCACAGAAGATACACCAACACCGACCACACACAGCTGGGTACGAAGGCACGACTGCTGATCGACACAACCAAGGCAGACCTGTGCACGACTTCTAGCAGTGGTATATAGACGTCATGGGACAGATTACGCTACCGGTGTACATGTTACATGCGAGATCAATACAGCAAATTACAGTCTGGAACCATCAACGAAAATGTCATCTGAAGTTTACTGAGAAAACAGAATTTGAAATGCTGAACGTCCTCACACAATAGTTTACTTGAACCTTCAGGTATATCTATGACATTGTTCATTAATTGTCAATTGGCCGATTCCCTTCCTCTGATTTTCCTACCTGAACTAGCCATAATAGAGACCAGTGAGACAGCCTTCCTCTGTTTTTATGTTTAGATTTATGCATAAAGAATCAGAGTGACAAAAACTCTCTCCACACCGAGTGAAGTCTTCATATTTTCAATATATATCAAGCAATATTCCAGCAACTCCAGCCTTTGGCGTCAACATTTCATATTTGAGGTACAATTGTACATGCGAGTCTTGCTAAAAGAGTTACAACATTCAAGGTATTAGTATTGCTTTCAACGTTTTTATGGTTTCACGGTGGAGGGCATTTCCAAATGTTTCCAGGTTTGTTCAAGTGAACATTTGACTTGCCTTTGCATGTGTTTGTGACGGGTGTCACCGCGGGGGCAGGACAGGCTCACCATTTGGCGAACACTTGGTGTCATCACTACCTTATAGTGATTCATAACCACATACTTACGGTATAGTCGTATACGTGCAGCTGATTCTTCTTTGTGCAGAGCTTGCTTGTGATTATGGAAATGATAGTGTCGGAAAGTTCAGAACCTTTAACACTTTTAATTAATTCAGCTTGGATTTTGTTTGGAGACCAGATATTTTTTCAGCTACAGCGGTAAAATCAGATATATTTGTTTAATTAAAACTATGAGCCTAAATACTTTTTTTCTAAAAAACTCCAACACATTGCAGCAATGTAATTTTTGTGGCAGACATTTTCGTCCTTTTTTTCCAACGGTCTTTTTTTCAAAAACTGATCAGTATACAAGGTGACAACCGTTAGCCTACAACCTATATATTGATCAGTAAACAAGGTGACATACGTTAGCCTACAACCTATATAGTGATCAGTAAACAAGTTGACAACCGTTAGCCTACAACCTATATACTGCTCAGTAAACAAGGTGCCATACGTTAGCCTACAACCTATATACTGATCAGTAAACAAGGTGACAACCGTTAGCCTACAACCTATATACTGATCAGTAAACAAGGTGACAACCGTTAGCCTACAACCTATATATTGATCAGTACACAAGGTGCCATACGTTAGCCTACAACCTATATACTGATCAGTAAACAAGGTGACAACCGTTAGCGTACAACCTATATACTGATCAGTAAACAAGGTGACAACCGTTAGCCTACTGCCTATATACTGATCAGTAAAAAAGGTGACAACCGTTAGCCTACAACCTATATACTGATCAGTAAACAAGGTGACATACGTTAGCCTACAACCTATAAACTGATCAGTAAACAAGGTGACAACCGTTAGCGTACAACCTATATACATATCAGTAAACATGGTGACAGACGTTAGCCTACAACCTATATACTGACCAGTAAACAAGGTGACAGACGTTAGTTTACAGCAGATATGTTGAACAGTAAAGTATTGTGACCAGCATCCGTTACCCTGTAACATATATTGTGACCAGCATCCGTTGCCTTATAACATAGATTGTGACCAGCATCCGTTACCCTATAACATAAATTGTGACGAGCATTCGTTACCCTATGACACATATTGTGACCAGTATCCTTTACCCTATGACACATAGTGTGACTAGCATCCGTTACCCTCCTATGACTTATATTGTGACCAGTATCTTTTACCCTATGACACATAGTGTGACCAGCTTCCGTTACCCTATAACATAAATTGTGACCAGCATCCGTTACTCTATAACATAAATTGTGACGAGCATCCATTACCCTATGACACATAGTGTGACCAGCATCCGTTACCCTATAACATAAATTGTGACCAGCATCCGTTACTCTATAACATATATTGTGACCAGCATACGTTAGCCTATAACATAAATTGTGACCAGCATACGTTACTCTATAACATATATTATGACCAGCATCCGTTACCCTATGAGACATATTGTGACCAGTATCCGTTACCCCATGACATATATTGTGAGCAGAAAATCAATTGAGCATCTCTTAGCTGATAACATAAATTGTGACCAGCATCCGTTACCCTATAACGTATATTGTGACCAGCATCCGTTACCTTATGACATATATTGTGACCAGTTTCCGTTACCCTATGACATATATTGTGAGCAGAAATCAATTGAGCATCTCTTAGCTGATAACATAAATTGTGACGAGCATCCGTTACCCTATAACATAAATTGTGACCAGCATACGTTACTCTATAACATATATTGTGACCAGTATCCGTTACCCTGTAACATATATTGTGACTAGTATCCTTTACCCTATAACACATAGTGTGACCAGCATCCGTTACTCAATAACATAAATTGTGACCAGCATCCATTACCCTATAACATAAATTGTGACCAGCATCCACTACCCTATAACATAAATTGTGACCAGCATCCGTTACCCATAAGCATAAATTGTGGCCAGCATCCGTTACCCATAAGCATAAATTGTGGCCAGCATCCGTTACTCTATAACACATAGTGTGACCAGCATCCGTTACCCTATAACATATATTGTGACCAGTATCCGTTACCCTATGACACATAGTGTGACCAGCATCCGTTACCCTGTAACATATATTGTGACCAGTATCCTTTACCCTATGACACATAGTGTGACCAGCATCCGTTACCCTGTAACATATATTGTGACGAGTATCCTTTACCCTATAACATATATTGTGACCAGCACACTGGCGAACACTTGGTGTCATCACTACCTTATAGTGATTCATAACCACATACTTACGGTATAGTCGTATACGTGCAGCTGATTCTTCTTTGTGCAGAGCTTGCTTGTGATTATGGAAATGATAGTGTCGGAAAGTTCAGAACCTTTAACACTTTTAATTAATTCAGCTTGGATTTTGTTTGGAGACCAGATATTTTTTCAGCTACAGCGGTAAAATCAGATATATTTGTTTAATTAAAACTATGAGCCTAAATACTTTTTTTCTAAAAAACTCCAACACATTGCAGCAATGTAATTTTTGTGGCAGACATTTTCGTCCTTTTTTTCCAACGGTCTTTTTTTCAAAAACTGATCAGTATACAAGGTGACAACCGTTAGCCTACAACCTATATATTGATCAGTAAACAAGGTGACATACGTTAGCCTACAACCTATACACTGGTCAGTAAACAAGGTGACAACCGTTTGCCTACAACCTATATATGATCAGTAAACAAGGTGACAACCGTTAGCCTTCAACCTATATATTGATCAGTAAACAAGGGGACATACGTTAGCCTACAACCTATATAGTGATCAGTAAACAAGTTGACAACCGTTAGCCTACAACCTATATACTGCTCAGTAAACAAGGTGCCATACGTTAGCCTACAACCTATATACTGATCAGTAAACAAGGTGACAACCGTTAGCCTACAACCTATATACTGATCAGTAAACAAGGTGACAACCGTTAGCCTACAACCTATATATTGATCAGTACACAAGGTGCCATACGTTAGCCTACAACCTATATACTGATCAGTAAACAAGGTGACAACCGTTAGCGTACAACCTATATACTGATCAGTAAACAAGGTGACAACCGTTAGCCTACTGCCTATATACTGATCAGTAAACAAGGTGACAACCGTTAGCGTACAACCTATATACATATCAGTAAACATGGTGACAGACGTTAGCCTACAACCTATATACTGACCAGTAAACAAGGTGGCAGACGTTAGTTTACAGCAGATATGTTGAACAGTAAAGTATTGTGACCAGCATCCGTTACCCTGTAACATATATTGTGACCAGCATCCGTTGCCTTATAACATAGATTGTGACCAGCATCCGTTACCCTATAACATAAATTGTGACGAGCATTCGTTACCCTATGACACATATTGTGACCAGTATCCTTTACCCTATGACACATAGTGTGACTAGCATCCGTTACCCTCCTATGACTTATATTGTGACCAGTATCTTTTACCCTATGACACATAGTGTGACCAGCTTCCGTTACCCTATAACATAAATTGTGACCAGCATCCGTTACTCTATAACATAAATTGTGACGAGCATCCATTACCCTATGACACATAGTGTGACCAGCATCCGTTACCCTATAACATAAATTGTGACCAGCATCCGTTACTCTATAACATATATTGTGACCAGCATACGTTAGCCTATAACATAAATTGTGACCAGCATACGTTACTCTATAACATATATTATGACCAGCATCCGTTACCCTATGAGACATATTGTGACCAGTATCCGTTACCCCATGACATATATTGTGAGCAGAAAATCAATTGAGCATCTCTTAGCTGATAACATAAATTGTGACCAGCATCCGTTACCCTATAACGTATATTGTGACCAGCATCCGTTACCTTATGACATATATTGTGACCAGTTTCCGTTACCCTATGACATATATTGTGAGCAGAAATCAATTGAGCATCTCTTAGCTGATAACATAAATTGTGACGAGCATCCGTTACCCTATAACATAAATTGTGACCAGCATACGTTACTCTATAACATATATTGTGACCAGTATCCGTTACCCTGTAACATATATTGTGACTAGTATCCTTTACCCTATAACACATAGTGTGACCAGCATCCGTTACTCAATAACATAAATTGTGACCAGCATCCATTACCCTATAACATAAATTGTGACCAGCATCCACTACCCTATAACATAAATTGTGACCAGCATCCGTTACCCATAAGCATAAATTGTGG